ACCTATGGGCCATTCCCATGGAGAGCGCGAGGTTGAGGTCTGGGCTGCACACCCGGGTGGTTCTGAGGGAGGGTCTGGAAGGAGAGGAGGAAGTCCAGGCGGGGGCTGCCAGGTGAGCTAAGGAGGGCGGAGGCACCACCCTGAGCAGCAAATGAAGGTAACGGAGGTGTGTGTGTCGGCAGAAGGGGGACGTGCACATGTGGCACCTCGAAGCAGCCACATCTGCCCTGTGCACATCTGTCCCAAAAGCACAGGGTGGCCCTGTGTCATGCCAGTTGTCCGGGAAGCCACACGGGACCGCAGGTCCCGCACACCCACGTGGTTCTGGGAGCCAATGAAAGGACTCCCTTCAGAAGCTTCTGTCAGATCTGGGTGGTTCCCTTAGGACAGTGGTTCTCCGCCTTCTGGCCCTTTAAATACACAGTTCCTCATGTTGTGACCCAACCATAAAATTATTTTCGTTGCTACTTCATAACTGTAATGTTGCTACTGTTATGACTCGATGTGCAGGATGGCCTTAGGCGACCCCTGGGAAAGGGTCGTTCGACCGCCAAAGGGGTCGGGACCCACAGGTTGAGAACCACTCCCTTAGGAGAAGAAAGGTGAGGCCAGCAAAGAGACAGAGGGAACTCAGGTTTGGGCAACAAAAACGTGTGGTGTAATTCTGTCCACTTTTCTGTGGAGGCTCCGGTTATGACAATAAACACCCGTTAAAGAAATAAAGGAGCTGCAGTGCAGAGAGGTTCTGCCAGGGAGAGGTGCTGGGACATCCAGGGAAGGGGCTGGGGAGAGGGGTCCACCAGGCAGCCTCTCCCTGCCATCTAGGCCCCACCCCCTGGGCCCTGACTGCTGTCCCGGCTGCTGCCTGCCACGAAGGGGTGGGCAGCGGGGGCTCCACAGCGTCCCTGTCCGCTCCACCCTCTTTCTTAGCACCTGCTGGGGCCCCAGTCTCCTAGGGCCTGGCCTGACTCTTCCTGGGGAAGATGCTTGGCTTACAAAGTCCCCTTGGGAAGCCACACACCCTTGGCTCAGGGTGCTTAGAGGCCCCTCATCAGAGCCTGCTCCCTGGGGGTGCATATCCCCTGGGGGTGCACATCCCCTGCGCCAACACTGGGAAGCCCGCTGGTGTTCATGTCTTCATTCAGCAGCATTTATTCAGCCCCTGAGAACGTGAGGTGCCTGCACCTGGAATACTTGCAGGTTTTGGTTATACAACTGCTACATGTCCGGTCAGCAAATGCATTCAGCAGGTGCCCTTGCAGAGGGGAGGGGAGGCTGAGTGCGGGGCCCCACCTGTGGCCAGAATGGAGGAGGAGTGAGCCATGATGAGATGCCTGGAGAGTGGTCCAGGGCAGAAGGCCAGCGCAGCGAGAGCGTGAGCTGGGAGGTCAGGGGTGGTGAGGCCCCAGGCCTTGGCTGGATGCACACAGGTCGTTATATGGCAGGGGTCCTCAAACTACGACCCGTGGGCCACATGCAAATACAAATATTGTATTTGTTCCCGTTTTTTTTTTTTTTTTTTACTTCAAAATAAGATATGTGCAGTGTGCATAGGAATTTGTTCATAACTATAATCCGGCCCTCCAACGGTCTGAGGGACAGTGAACTGGGCCCCTGTTAAAAAGTTTGAGGACCCCTGTTATATGGCAATTAGGCTGAGTTGGAGCATGGAAGCTGCACCTGGCAATAATGCAGGTGAGAGAAGGGCAGGGGTTGGGCTAGCTGGGCCTCCTCTGCCTACCCATTTGTGCCCCTCCCACCCCAGCCTATCCCCCTCCCCAGCCTCCCCTGCTCACTGCCTTTCACAGACCCCCTTGCTCCTTCCCGCTGGGCCTGCCTGTCAGGCTCCTAGGACAGGGGTCCTGGTCTTTCCTGTCCCGCAGACTTGCCTCAGGTCCCTTGGAGTAGGTGGGGCTGCGATTTGCTCCAGCCCGCCACCTTCAGCCATCCCAGAGCCAGCTCATCCTCTGCATCCCTAACCCTGCCTCCCTCCCCCACGAGCCCTGTGGGTCCATGGTCCCCGTCCAGTCCAGCAAGGCGCTAACGCGAATTCCATTGTTTCCTGTTGTTACCAGCCCTCCCGCACGGTGAGCTAGGGGGCCGCAGTTGGCCAGTTCACGTGGTTCCCCCAGGGCACAGCTGGCCCCTAGCAGGTGCCCAGTAAAGAAATGTTGAACGAGTGAGGTCTCCGCCATATGGCGCGCTCTCCATTTCCCCACGACGCCGCTGGCCTTCCTCGTTCGCAGGACGTTTTCTCTGAGACCAGGAGGTGGCACTGGCGAGCCTCTCCCGGCTGCGGTCCGCCCAGGCAGCGCGCCCCAGCCCCAGGCGCTCCTTCCCGGTGGCAGCCACCCGACCTTCCCCGGAGGAGGGGTGTTCCTCGGATCCTACCGAGGGGGCGGCGCGTGGGGGCGCAGGAAGAGGGGGTGCGGTGGGAGCCCGGGTAGTGGGTGGAGGGGGCGCAGGCAGCGAAGCGCCCAGAGAGCGGGCAGGGAAGACGAAGCTAACGGGCTTTATAAGGGGACCAGGGCGGGAAGCGGGCGGCCTGTGCGCGGCATCCAGGAGTGTGCGGCGGCGGTCGGGGCACGGGCTCGAGACCCCAGCGCGCAGGGCAGGACTGGGCCCTGGGGAGCGCATCGAGAGGCCTAGGACCAGAAGAGCGTGGACAAGAGGCCGCCCTCACCCCGCACTCCTGCTGCCCCCCAACTCACCCGGTTCCTGCAAAACCGCGCGGCCCCCCATCCCGCACTCCCGGCCTGGGTTCCCTGGAGAGCCGTGCACGCTTCGGCCGGTGGAGACGGCAGTCCCACTCGCGACCCCAACTCAGCCAGGGAGGGCCTGGCTAGTAGATGGGCCTGGGGTGGTTGGAGCGCAGGGCAGAGCGTCGGGGTCTCTTTCCTCAGCAGAAACGGCTGGGAGCCCCCCGCCCGGTGTTCAACGAGCCAAAGCGCGGCACTCAGAGTTGGGCGTCCCTCCTGCCTTGAGCCAGGGTTGCGGGGACCCTTCCAAGGGTAACAGCCTCCATCGTCCCGCCCCGGCGCCCCTCCTGGCCTGCCCCTAAGCACCTTAAGGACGCTGAGACCCTGGGTGGGCTCCGAAACGCAGCGGAGGTGTCCGCTCCCCCACCCCCGCCCGCCTCCTCTGGCCCCGCCTCTGAGCCCGCAGCTCCCGAGCTCACTGGAGCCCCGCTGCTCGCCGCCGCCTCCAGGGAGCCCAGAGCAGCCCAAACCCTGCGAGGGGGGCGGGGAGGCTTCCCTGTGCCGGCTCTGGAAGCGCACACAGGCTGTAGTTTCCTCCAAGAAAGTGGGGCGCGAGCGAGGCCGGGGCGGGGCGGACCCGAGCTGCGGGAATCCCAAAAACAGCGATCTGGGTGTCCGGGCCCTGGCTCGCGGGACAGTCACGCCCAGATCCCCTGGAGCGGCCTGGGCGGAGGGAGCTGGGAGAGAGACTCCCATGCGCGGGGCTGCACCGCACGCGAACCCGGGGCAGCCTGGGGCGCGCACGCGAGGTGGTGGATCATCCCACGCCCACCAGCGCGCGGCAGCGGTTTTCCAAGCCGCCGTCTGGCGCAGGGACTCGAGCTCCGCCACTAACTGCACAAAACGAAAATGGGCCCCCGAGGGCCGCGATGCGAGAGGACGCTGGGCCCCTGCACAGATCCGCGAGGGTGGCCTTCGTTCCTGCCACCGAAACCCTGGGGGCCGGGCCGAAACGGCAAAGTCGTTGAGGACGGACCGCACCGCGCGAGGCTGGCCTGGCGCACCGACCGCTGAACGGCTGTCCGTGTTCGCACGTTCGTGCCGCAGCTCCAAATGGGCAGCGGACGATCTTCACGTCTGCCACTTGCTAACATGTAACGCCGCCTAAAAGGACAAAGGCACCTCCGCCAGCATTTACTCGGCGCCCCTCTCGGCCGGCGCTCGGCTCCACCGCAGTCTTATTGGAGCCCACATCCGTTCCTGGGGAGGGGGCTTTTTGTACCCAGAGGACACCATGGGGGAGGGTCCCACCTGCCTGTCTAAAGGCCGCACTTTGGCCCGCTGCACTTGGGACGCGAACCCGTGTGGAGGCCATGGACGCGGCCCCGCTCCCTGGGCTGCAGGGCCCTGAGCCTGCCAGGGCCCCCATTCCCAGGCTCGGGCTGCTGGGCTCGGTCGGTCACAAATTCGGGGCTCAGGTTGCCTCCCCAGTCGAGCTGCGGCTTATACCCTGTACCCAAGACGCCCGACCGGCAGGCCAAGCCGTCCCCGCGTTCCAACCTGCAGAGGACAGTCCTTCGGGCTGGGAGGGACAGGGGGCCGCCCGGCCGCGTGCGAGAGTCAGCGGTCTCGCGTGTGGCCCCGGGACAGGCCTCGCCACCAGGCCAGGGGTTAGTCAGTAAAAGTAGAGCAGATTCGCGAGGGCCAAGTCTGACCACTGGGCCCCCGGATTCTGAGCTCCTTCCCTCCGCCGCGGGTTTGCACCCCTGAGTTCCGGGAAGTGTTTGCGGTCCTGCTTCAACCTGAGAGCGGGCGGCCGGGGACCCGCGGGGCGGGGCGCTGGCCGCCTCCCCCGACAGCGCCCTCCCGCGTGGGGCGCTTCGTTGAATGGGGAGCACGACGGAGCTGCGTAGTGGATCCTCAAATCTGCATTCTTTCGGGGGATAAAATATGCTCTCGTATTTTTTCCTGATTTCCCATTAAAACCTTTGCCTAACTAAACTCCCATCCAACGGGATTTATTTCGTCCCGGGGGAGATAAATCGGGCAAATTTACAGCCCGGAAGGCACCTGCCTCGCTAATGGGCCCTTCATGGAGTGCGCGGCCGGCGGGGGCGCGCGGCGGGAGGGGCGCTGGCCAATGGCCGGACCGCGGGCGCCCGCAGCCAATCAGCGCGCGCGCCGCGCCGGGGCCCCGCGGTTATCAGCGCGTCCGGTCCGCGCGGCACCGCTCCGACCGGCCCCGGAGCCGCCGCCCGCGCCCGTCGCCCGCCGCCCGCCGCCGCCCGGCCCGAGCCCCGCGCCTGCCCTGCGGGGCCGTCGGCGCCCATCCGCGCCCAGCGCCCCGCACCCCCCGTGCAGCGGCGCCCGCCCGGGCCGCGCGCAAACTTCCCGGGCCGGATGGGCGCCCGGGCCGGCGGCGGCGGTGCCCATGGACGCTAACCGCCCGGGCGCGTTCGTGTTGAGCAGCGCGCCGCTGGCTGCGCTGCACAACATGGCCGAGATGAAGACGTCGCTGTTCCCGTACGCGCTGCAGGGCCCGGCCGGCTTCAAGGCACCCGCGCTGGGCGGGCTAGGCGCGCAGCTGCCGCTAGGCACCCCGCACGGCATCAGCGACATCCTGGGGCGGCCCGTGGGCGCGGCCGGCGGCGGCCTCCTGGGCGGCCTGCCCCGTCTCAACGGGCTCGCCTCGTCGGCCAGCGTCTACTTCGGGCCCGCGGCCGCCGTGGCGCGCGGCTACCCCAAGCCGCTGGCCGAGCTGCCCGGACGCCCGCCCATCTTCTGGCCCGGCGTGGTTCAGGGCTCTCCCTGGAGGGACCCGCGCCTGGCGGGCCCGGGTGAGTGGCGCGCGCAGGAGTGGGCTGGGGGCGCGGGGCTGGGGGCGGCGGCCGCGCTCATCCGCTCTCCTGTGCAGCCCAGGCCGGCGGGATCCTGGACAAGGACGGCAAGAAGAAGCACTCGCGGCCGACCTTCTCGGGCCAGCAGATCTTCGCGCTGGAGAAGACCTTCGAGCAGACCAAGTACCTGGCGGGCCCGGAGCGCGCGCGCCTCGCCTACTCCTTGGGCATGACCGAGAGCCAAGTCAAGGTGAGGCGGCGGCCGGGCCGGGCGGCCTCTCGCGGGTCCCGCTGCACCAGGCAGACCCTCGCGCCCGCATCCTGCGAACGGCCCCCAAGCGGCCGCCCGCCTCGGCCCAGCCCTTGAGGCGCAGCTGCCCTGCTGCAGGGGTGGGGGCCAATGTGCTGGCCGCGGGCCGCAGGTCGGGCGTTTCGGGAGGCGCAGCCTGATGTCCCCCTGCACCCCCAGGTGTGGTTCCAGAACCGCCGAACCAAGTGGCGTAAGCGGCACGCGGCGGAGATGGCATCGGCCAAGAAGAAGCAGGACTCGGATGCCGAGAAGCTGAAGGTGGGCGGCTCCGACGTGGAGGACGACGACGAGTACAACCGGCCCCTGGACCCCAACTCGGACGACGAGAAGATCACGCGGCTGCTCAAGAAGCACAAACCCTCGAACTTAGCGCTGGTCAGCCCGTGCGGCGGCGCGGGGGACGCCTTGTGAGGGCTCACGAGGCCGGAGGGCCAGGGTGGGGCGCAGCCGGCCCTCCCCGCCTCCAGCCGGCGTTGTATATATATTTTTACAGAATAAGTTATAAAGCTGCCGGCTCGGGCTCGGCGGAATCACTTTGTATCATCAATAAATTATTTAACACGGCCCCGTCGGAGCCGCGGCTCCGGCTGCACCGCGTGTTTCTTCCCGTTCTGTCTCGGCGCCTGGGTCGTGCGCGGCGAAACCAGCCAGGTGCCCGCGCCCTAGAGCGGAGGTTGAGGGCTGCTCGGGCTTCTCCGGGGACAGCGAAGGCCCGGCGCGCAGGAGGGCGGCCCGGCCCTGCGAACCCTAGGCGGGAAGGAGCCGCTGGGTGCGGCGCTGGAGGAGCTGCAAGGAGCCAGACGGAGCGGGGCGCGGCGCCGGCAGGTGAGACGCGGCGGCGGCAGGTACAGCCTCTCCTCCGAGGCTGCGGCCTGCCAGCGGGGATGAGGTTTGGGGCGGATTGAAACACATTTGGGGGCCCGTCCTGCTCCCTCCCGGCCCATGGTTCCTGGATTTGCTGGATTGTGTGTTAAAACAGGCTTAGCCCCAGTAGCTGAATGTTTTCAAGTATTCCCTGGGCGCTCGTGTGGGGTGAAATCAGTGGGGTTTTCAATTCCTCAGCATCGTGGCCTTTCAACTCCCATTACAGATCTTTCCTCAGTAGAAAGCGCTATTTAATTAAAGCTACTCTGCCCACGTTGGGGGAGCGAGGGGAGAGCGCAGACCCTCAGCCCCCAGGTCGGGCATCTCCTGCCAGGGGAGTGGGGTCTGCAGCTCCGCCCTCCCGCCCACTCGCTTGCTCCGGGAATTAGCGGGACTCCCTCCTCATCTTCCTGTCCTCCCGCCTTCTGAGGCAGGTCCGGGTACCATCACCACCACCCTGATTCTCGTTACCACAGACTGTGGCCCCGGCTCTGCATGTTGCATCTTAATGGCCATAAGGATTGGGTACTAATTTTAAAAATTAAATGTGATTGTTACTCTATGACTTCTCTTGGAGGTTTTGAAAATGCAAAAGAGTTATGTAAATGGCTGAAGTTTTTTTGTTTTGTGGGTGTTTTGTTTTTGCCACATGGCTGTACCATCTAAAAAACCAGACATTCCTAAGGAACCACTGGCTGTTTTTTCGTTCTTTTTAAGAGAGACAATTTATTTTATTTCTTCACGTGAACTATTGTCTCAGCTCAAGAGCAAAGGAATTTCCAGTTTCAGGTTGAGGAAAGCGTGCATTTACATAATCCTGTGTAAAAATGCCGAGGGGTGAATCCCGTTAGTTGTCACCGCAGTAAGAGAGCCAACAGATTACTTTTCTGCTCTTAATTCTCAGCTTAGTTAGTGTGACGGTAAATGATGGAATGAAATTCCAGGATTTCTAATGAGCTTGGTCCGCAACAGGCTAAGGAGGGCACAGTCCTGTCACTTAGCATTTCAAAGAGGACAAACCCGGGAAGGAAGAAGACAAAGCCAGGCAGAACTGCGTTCACCATGATCAATTTTATTGCTTAGGAACCGGAGCGGTCATTTCTAAAGGCCTCCACAGTGATCGACAGCTGAACCCCGCTCAACAGAATCACCGCTTGGAAGTGGACAGCACAGTGACCGCCCTGACCCAGACCCCCCGTATTGTCAAGAACAGATTCGGCAAGCGGACCCCGCATCACTTGCACTGGTAGTGACTGACCTAAACAGCGTCTGCCTGCGGCCTCCAGCCCAGGACTTCTTAGTGTTCTAGAGCAGACGAATAAACGCAAGGCTTCTCCCCCGCAGGCTCCCGTCAGCTCGGCGCTAACTCAGTGCTGGGAGAGTGTGGGCAGCACGGATCTGCGTGGGGCGTTTGCAGCTGAGCCCAGGACGTTTACAGTTCTGTTCCTCTTAATGTTTTTATGTACAGCCCATGTTAAAAGCAATTTCTATTGGAAGCGAACTAGGCTATTTTTACTTCTCCCATGATATTATTGTTTTATGTATAATACTTGGCACCATAGAACAGTAACAAAAGACAGACAAAACGGTTTACAAAATTCTTAAAAGGTACAACCAAGTCGGCTATAACCTTCACATTCAGGTCTAATATTACACAGGAGAAGGCAGAGGAGCGACGGCTGCTAGTGTAGCCAGGTGTGCTGGCGCTGATCGCCCACGGTGCACTGCCAGGCACGCCACCTGTTCTGCAGGTGTGTGTGTGACGTTCACACAACTAAACTAGACTCCAATTCTACCTGCTGATATGACACTCTTGAGCATTCCTACTGGAAAGCATATCTGGCATAAGTTTTGGTAAGATTTATAAATTATTTTAAAAAGTATATATTTATATATATTTATATATAAAATGGGGAAGCAGCTGCAGTGTGACTCAGACACCATGTACATGGCAGTGGAAGGAACAATACAGGAGGGCCGTCGGCTGGAGCCAGGGCCCTCGCTGTCCTCACAGTGGCCACGCTGCCCGAGTCAGCACAGCCCGCTCCCGCCGGCACACCTCCAGCTGGCAGAGGGGACATCTGACACCCGTGGGGTTCCCACGCTGACAATTATTACAAACTGAAAACCGTGAAGTCTAAAATACAGAATCTCTGCTGTCTATTAGAGTTTTGGCAACAGGACTGTGACTTATTAAAAACCCAATATTTCTACTTAATGTCACATGAACAGACAAGACAGTGAGGTATGTGAGGCTCCCCCGGGAGGGCCGGAGGCTGAAGCGAAGTGTGGGCCGGCCGGCTAGCGGGTGGCGCTCGGGCGGGTTAATCGATGCAGCTGTTGAGTGTGGATTTCCATGGACGCGACTTCCATCTGCTCCTCACGCTATAGGCAGGGCTCGCGAAGGGTCCTCTCGTGTCGCTGGCATCGCCTCCCTGCAGTGGAACCAGTGGTTTGTTAAAGGGACAGACACACCGGGAAAAGCTCAGAAAAGGTGAACTCAAGGGAAGGAGCCATATTTACCACACGTCACTGCACGACACAACACTTGTGCACGTGTGCGTGAGCTTTACCTGCCCCGGGCGCCACACGGAAGGCCAGGAACACAGGCTGCAGCGGGAGAAGAGGAGGGCGTCAGAACCCAGGCAGCCCGCGCCGCACCCCACCCTCACCCTCACCCTCACCCTCTGCTCTGGGCTGCTTGAACCGAGGAGCTGGTGACCTTGGGGCCAAGGACGGTTACCCGGTTGCCCATGGAACCCAGTTGATACGGAAGGAAGCCTGGCTGGACGGCCAGGGGCTCAGGCAAAGTGCCTTCACCTTTTGTAAAGAGGTATTATTTCCAGATAAAATCCAAGGTAAAAACTGACTTAAAGACTGCAGACTATGCCCCACGTAATGGGGGTAGGGCAGAGTTCCTGTCCTCGCCTGGGTCCACCCTGTCGGGTGCCAGGGTGAGGGCTGCGTCTCAGGATGATGCCCAGTGGTCTCCAAAACGGGAAAGCATGGAGGCCTCTCGTCTCCCTAGGGAGAGGCCACACCTGTCGCCAGCACAACCCTCAGCGAGGATGCTGGGCTCAGGTGCAGGGAGTCTTGTGCACGAAGTTAGTCCCTGGAGAGCTGACTGTGACACTTACCACTGCCTGCTGAGACTGGCTTGGCATAAGGACAATAAAACCTCAAATGCACACGTGAGAAATGGCCTAAGAAATAATCCACGGAGACAGTATATATATATATATGTATATATATATTTTTTACAAATAGTTAAATTGTGTATTTTACTCTGTTGTGACTGGTCATTTCTGCCCTCTTATCTACCCACCTACCTATCTACTCACACAGCTGCCTACCACCGGGTATTTTATTAAAGTTAAGTGAAAACAGACACTGCGGCCTGTCCTGTGCAGCCAGACCGCGGAGGCAGGGAAGCACCCCGCCAGCCCCACAGGCCCGGCCCTGGGCCAGGGCCCTCACATCACCTTGTGGTCTCCCATGCAGACGTTGGGCCCGATGTGGTCATAGGTGACAACCTTCTCCTCGCTCTCCGACTGGGAAAAGCAAACAGAGGTTACGGCGTGGGAGGCAGGAATGGCCAGCAGTCCCCTGGCCCCGTGAGGGAGTGGCCAGCGGAGGGTGGAAGCTCTGGCAGCCATGGCAGCACCTCGGCACCCCACGCCCACTGCAGTTGGTGGGACCCTCACAGGCATGACCACCGTGCCCACCACCTCCCGTGCCTGGCAGACACCTTATTTTGGGTTCGAGGGTGAAGAGCTTGGTCCTGGCAGTCAGACAGCCCTGACTGGGCCCGGACTTTATCCACAGCTGAAGCACCTGGGACTCTACAGTTAAAGCTGAATTCTCTTCAATGCAGCAGGAAGCTTAAGGCCAGATTTACTTTGCTGCGTGCTCACCTGCCAGGAAGTGAGCACTCCCATCCCTCACCATCGCAACGCTGCCCCACGCAAGTGGGGACATTCATCAAAGGCGGCGTGGTAATTTACAAAGGCAGCATAAAATTGTAGGTTTCCAACTGCATAATCCTGAGACAGATAAACAAATGACGGGGGCGCGGCACACCTCGCTGAGCATCCATCACCGGCCTCCAGGCAGCCCCGCTGCGCCCGCCACCTTCAGCGTTGTAGGGCGGGAGGCAGACGGGACATGATGACTAGGAAACCGAGCGTGGCATGATGGATGAGGCCGAGGAAGCAGCTTGGCACATCTGTGGCCTGTAACGCCCGCCGCCCAGCATTCCCCAGGGCATCCAATTCGTCCCCCCAAACTGGAGATGTGAATGTAAAATAGTCTAGAACAGGGCGTTCTGCTGAACTGCCTTGAGCCCTGAACACAAGCGTGGCCTCCTGCCAGCCCTCTCTTCATTGGTGTAAGCACTCGAGCTGTCTTAGTGCAAAATGCACTTTTCTAGTTTGCAACTGTTTTTCCAGGTAGGTGACACCTGTCTCATTCCTGAAGGGGCCTGTTCTGGCCAGCAGCCTGAGCTCAGCTTGCCCGTCAGTTGTGAGCCCTGCCTACAGTCAGGGGGCTCCCAAGGCTCCTGGCCCCGCCCTCAGAGTAAGTGCCAGCCTCCGGGCCAGGCTTCCTCCCCAGGGTGCTCCAGGCTTTGGGGAGAGCATCCAGGCCCAACCCTCACCAAAAAGGCGATCAGGGCCTCTTAGTGGGGACTGCAGGGTCCAGCTGAGCAGGGGTCAGCTGAGCAGGTGGTGAGGTGTTTGGGTGGGGGCGCGGTGTGGAACTTGAGGCAGCACATGAGCACTCTGCCCTCCTGCCTGCAGCCCCTGTTGCCCAGTGGGTGAAGCCCAGGGTCTGGCAAAGGAGCACAGACAGGACCAGCTGGTGCAGCCCAGGGGTGTGGTGGTGGGTCGCTGTGCCCCTGCCCTCTCCTACCCACTGCCTATATCACACGGGCCGCGTGAAACAATGCTGGCCATTCTT